GATGCGGGACTCGATCCCAGGACTCCAAGATCATGACCTGAGCCAAAGGCAGTCGCTTAACCAACTGAGCCACCCAGGCGCCCTGTCTCTCCCCTTTTAAGACACAGACCTAGCTTGGCAAGGTCAAAGAGACTGAACTGGAATTCCCACCGGAGCCCCTCCCTCCTCTGCCTGGGAGGGACATGATTAAAGGGTAGCTGCCAATTCGGGGCCTAATTCCCTTGCAGCTTCCCTGCTCTGTGGCCCCTGGTCTCTGCCATGGGGAGCTCTCTGACCAGTCCAGCTTGGGGCAGCCCTGCCATTACAAAGCACAGCCTCCTGCAGAGCTAGAGCCTGTCCCCTGACATCGCCTACCCACAGGCCAAGGGTCTCCTGGGGTTGCCAGAGATGACACGTTGATTCTACCCTGCACCTGTTCATGGACTATCCCCAATATCTGATGGGACAGAGATCATGCTGCTCTACAGTCTTTGGCTGAACACCTTTGGACACTCCTTCATGAAGGACAGTGCTGAGAAAGGACTAGGAGACCTAAGCCAAGGCCCTGCTTCACTGCCTTGCCAGGCCCCTGGCCCATGAAAGGGCTCACAGCTCCCTGGGGCCCAAACTGGCCTCTGTTAGCCCAGAGGGTCTGCTGGCTTTTACTGTGCCTTTGCAGGGGGCTGGGACCTGTGCTGGGCAGCACAGTGCCACAGTGGGGCCAGCAGCAGGCACGGCACTTCCAGAAGTGGCTCAGAGCCCTCCTCAAGGGCGGCAGCCAGCTGGCCAGCGGTCCTAACCCAAAGGGAGAGTCCAGCCTGGGATCCTTCCAGCCTCCCCCAGCATCTCGACATGGTTTGATCTGCAGCATGGCATCCTCTGAAGACCCCCTTGGCACCCTCTCCAGGGAAGCCCCTGGAAGGAAATTCAGTCCTCTGTGGCCCAGTCACTTCTGTTAGGGCGCAGAGCCGGCTCCAGGGGGCTGAGCAAATGCCACCTCCCTGTTCACAGGGGCCAGCTCTCACCACCAGTCGATGCCTCCGCCTCTTCCTCCAGAGTTGTCTCCTCCTGGCCCCTTGAGCCCTGCGCTGTTCCCGGCTATAACTCCGACTGGGATCTTGAGATCCGTGGGCCCTTTCGGATCTCTTTCCGCTTCTCCTCTTTCTTCCTGCGTTTCTCCTCCTCCCTCAGGGCCTTCTGGAAAGGGTCGGTGCTGGAAATGAACTGAGAGAAGAACAGAGCAGTCTGGTTTAGTCCGCCAGCAGTGAAGAGTTTGCTCTGAGTTAGGCTGCTGTGGGCTTGTGGCGGTGGGAAGATTGCCTAGACACAGGCCCTGCCCTCAGGGAGCCCGCAGACAAGATGGTTCAATGAACCTGGGGGAAGCTGCTTAGAGGGTCCTTAAAAATAACCAGGAGCTCACCAAGCAAACAGGGTGAGGGAAGAAAAGGACATTCCAGGCAGAGGGGCACGTGCTGGGGTGTGAACCTGCATGGGGCTCCTCCTCTCAGGGTGAGGGGGCTGAGTGCCCAAGACAACCATAGACACCTGGCCCCCAACCTGTGCCACACCCCCGAGGAGGGGAGGGCAGCCAGTGAGAGCAAGAGACCACAGGCATCCCGCTGCTTGCGAACAAGCCGCAGAGAAGCCCAGGCAACGGAGTACACCCACAGGAAGCAGTGGGTCAGAGGTCAAACTGGCAGAACCTGAAAAAGAGGTGGAAAAGAAGATGGTAGTGCCCAGGCTTGTGGCCTGGTGAGACAGGAACACAGGGCGAGCCAGGGTGGGAGGAGGAGGACTTCAGTGGAGGCATTCCTCAACTGCAATCCCCAGAGCTTCTGCTCTCTGCAGACTGGCTCATCTAAACCCATGGCTTCTGTTAGGAGTCAATGTCAGTTACCGCTCAAATCTGCATCTCCATATCTAAATGCCGCTAGATGTCCCAAACGAGCCCCAGACTTGGCATGGCTCCATCTCCCCAAAACCCAGTCCTCTTCCAGTGTCCCTGTCCTCGCGAACAGCAAGCTCCACACCCCCACCTCTCTCCCTCCACACGAGTCCTTGGCCAAGGCCTGGCTCAGTGTAACTCCTAGGTCTCTCTCAAACTCATCTACTTCTCTCCGTCTCTCCTATCGCTAACCCCATCACCACCTCCACCTCCCTCCCAATGACTCTCGGGGCCTTCCAAAGCTCTTTGCACCCACTTGGGTCCCTCTCGAGCCATTCTCCTCACTGCAGTTAGTTCTTTTCAAAAATGCAAATCTGACCATGTCACACTCCTGCTTAAACCCTTCCGTGACTCTGCATTACTCTCAGGATCAAGTTCCACACGCTGCATCTGCAGGCCCCCACTGCCCACTGCTTTGCTCCTCCCTCACACTCCCCGCTTTGGGTTCTTGGATTCCCTGGTTGCTCCCACTTCCAGGCCTCCACAAGTGCTGTGGTCCAGGCCCAGAATGCTCTTTCCAACCCCTGCCCCCTTAGCCATGTTAGTTCCACCCTCAGGGATCTGCCCTGACTCCTAGCTGGGGCTGGGGCTGGACCCTCCCTCATGATCACATGCTTCGTGCCTGTCGCCCCCACTAGAGAACACTCTCTGAGGACAGGAGCACGATGTCAGGTGTCGCTCACTGTGCCATCACTCCCTAGCACAGGACCTGCCTGGCTTGTAGATGGCACTCAGTATGTATTTGGTAAATGAACGAATGAATCATGTTAGAATATGAAATGCAGTAATAGTACCCCAAACTCAGGTTAACTATGCTGTGAAATATGCCCATTTTATTTGTTCTTAGGGCAAATGTGACAAACGTTTGATCAAGGTAGACATTAAAAACAAACTAGAAGTTCTACCTTGTGGAGCAATCTACCTGCCATGTTAGATTGAACTATGAGCCTGGAAGATGGGGTGAAATCAGAGAAGTGTGGCCCAGAAAGGGTAGGTGATATGCTTAAGTCACACAGCAAGTGGGAGGTACAACTGGGACTAACCCCCAGGCCTTCCACCTCCCCGGCCAGTGTCCCCCCTACCACACTCTGCCTCCTGTCCCTGTGAGTTAACTCTGATCCTCTTGGGAGGGATGAGCAGCTGGGAGCTGGAAGCACACCCCCCCCCACCCCGCCCCAGGTCACAGAGGATCCCAGACCCTGTGGCTCTGGCTGGGGTAGAGCAAGTCAAAAGATCTGGGCCCTCCAACCCCAGCTGGCTCAGCCTCACCAGGGGAGCCCAAACCTGGCTCGGTCAGAAGGGAAACACTGCCTTTCCTTTTCACAGACCCCTTCCCCACAAGGCCTAACTAATGTCTACTTTAAATTCCTGATGCTAACCTCAAGCGGGCCCTTCATGTGGCCTGGCAATCCAGGTTGTCTCCCTGGCCCGCTCACTCAGCCGTTCTCCTAGACACACCTTCTCAAGCCCCCAACCCTGCTCCACTCCTTCCCCACAAACCACTGCAGAGGACAGAAGCACTCACAAGACAACTTCCACAAGCTCCCACCTCCACACCCACCACCCCAGCTGCTTCTGTGCCCAAGCTGCTCTTGGAGGCAAGGCCGACCCTTCCCCTGGGCGCCCGCAACTCTCCCCTGCCTTACTTGCTCAGGGACGAAGCTCCACAACCCTTGTGCCCCTGCACCATCAATTCTTCCTCCCTAATGCGCTGTCCCCATCAACATGCTGAATCTCTCCCACCTGATGAAAATCTCCCCCTCCAGCTATTCTCCCATAGGTCTGTTCCCCTTGAAAGGAAAGCTCTTCAAAGGTAGTCTGCACTTGCTGTGTCCACTTCCTTGCCTCTTATTCTCTTGAAATCCAATCTTTGTCCCCACGGCTCCACCAAAACAGCTTCTATTAGGATCTCTGGTGGCCATCGTCCATGTTCCTAAATCCAGTGGCCGGTTCTTAGGCCTCATGCTCCTCAGCCATCCAGCAGATTCTACAAGCCGTTCATTCCCTCTTTGCTACGCTTTCCTCACAGGGTCTCTGGAAAACGATCCTCTCCTGCATTTCTACTCTCCCACTGTCACTCGGGGACTTCTTTGCTTGTTCCTCCCCATCCTCCCTCCTCTACCTGCAGGCACATCCCAGACCTCAGCCCTCTGGTCACTGCTCTATCTGCCCTGACACTCACCTGCCCTGGGGTGATGGGACAGGACCTGTGCCGTGGCTCTCCGTACCTTCCTTCACAGGCATGACTCATATTTGCAGCCCCAGCTTCAGCCTCAAATCTAGAGTCATATTTCCAACTGCCTCCTTGACATCTTCATTCAGATGCTCACCAGGTCCAGAAACAAAGTTTTGATCTCCAATCCAGGCCTCAACCTGGTCCCACCACAGTATGCCCATTTTAGAAAATGGCAGCCCCATTCTTCCGTGTGTGCAGGCCAAAAGTCTTCTAGTCCTTCTTAATGAGTCTCTCATGCCACATCTGCTTCCTTAGCAAATCTTATTGGCTCTACCTTCTAAACAACCAGAAGCTCACCATCCTCACTGTTGTCACCCTGGTGTAAGCCGCCATGAACTCCCATATGGACAAGCACAGTAGCCTCCTCATCAGTGTCCCTGTTTCCCACCCTGGTCCCCTAAACTACCCTCCACACAACAGCCAGGCTGATCCTTTAAAGGGGTAGTCAGAGCCCATCACCCTGCTTTCCATGTGTCTCAGAGTAAATGCCAAAGCCCTGAGAAGACCCCGCAAGGGTCTTGTGATCTGGCCTACTCTGACCTTATCTTTTCACGTCCTCCCCTCCCCCAAATATGCTTCCAACTCCAGGCCTTTGCACTTGCTGCTCCTTCAGCTTGGAATGTTCTTTCCCCAGATACACGGCTGGCTCCCTCACCTTGTTCAGGTCTTTTCAATAAGACCTTCTGTGTCGGAGTCACATGAAGTAACAATTGCACCTCCACCTTATCCCCAAATCCATCACCACATTCCCCTGCTTTTTTTCACCACCTGCCATACTATATGTTTCTTACTGACTATCTCCCAGGAGAGCAGGGCTAGTCTGCTTCTCTCATGGCTGGGATTTAGCAGATGCTCACTGAATGATAAATAAATGCATGTGCTATGCCTCCAAGCCTTTGTGCAACTAGTCCCTCTGCCTGGAAGGTCTTCCCCAAGATGGTCCACCAGGCGAGTCTTACTTATCCCAGAGCCTCCGCCACCCACCTGCTGAGGCAGGGTCAGGTTCCCTGTCAGGGGTTCCACAGCTCACCATACTCACACTCCCCTCTTCCCCTGGTACAGTGATCGCGCTGGATCAGGACTGTTTCCTGCTGCCTTCCCCAACAGACTGTAAGCATATGAAGGGCAGGGAGAGGGCCAGCTCCCTCTGGACTGGGGCAGTGGCCAGCACACAGCCTGATACAAGTTCGTTCTAGTGACGGGTACGTAAGCAGTAGGAGAGGACTCCCAGAGCACTCCCTGTTGTGGACAGTGCATGAGGGGAGCTGACTGAACCTGAACTACTGCTGTTGGGACAGGTCCACACGGGAGGCCAAACAGTGAGTCAAATCTTGAGACTGTCCCCAGCCAATGAGAAGTAAGGCAAGGATGTTGCTGTTATGGTTATTTCCAAGCAGAACACACTAGGACAAAGCCAAACTAAATCTATCCTAGAACCCATTCTCTCTGGTGCATGCTCTCACCCTCCTCCTATGTCAGAGGCATTCATGACCTACAGGGCAAGGAGAGCCAGCGTCACAACAATGAAGCATCTCAGTGGGTGCCCCTTGCTGGGAAAGGCAATCTGCCATGGCCTTAAGTGTCCTTGCATATTCTTGCTGGGTATGCCCTGACTGCTCTTACACTGGCCATTTATCAGGGTTGCAATGGAAGCAAGCAACCTTGAGGGATGTCATGTGATGGAGTGACAGCAACCCTAGTAGGGAAACCCACGTTTCCCATTCTGCTGCCTGAAGCAAAGCCCCTGGTTCAAGGGGGCCCTTGATTCAGAGGTTCCCCTAAATACTCATGCCTGGTCCACTGATTGTTCACCTAAATTAAGAGCTAATGGTGCTGTCCAGAAGAGTTAACATAGCCAGACTGACTGCTATCCTTTGAAAGACCTGCTTCTAAGGTTGGATCTTGGCTGGTGTCTGGAAACTTGGATTTTGGGAGGGCTCCCACCACCCTAATCAATGAGTGGCTCACTGAGCCTAAACTGCAAACAATGTGGTTTATGCTGAACACCTGCTTTTCTCCTGGGAGTCTGGAATTCTGGTATGCACTGGGCAGAGAGTGCTTAAGTGACCAGCTCCCAATAAAAACTCTAGGCACTGAGTCTTTAATGAGCCTCCCTGACAGACAACTTCTCACAGGTCACATCTTGTTGCTGGGGGAATAAAGTATGTTCCTGGGGGACTCCATTGGGAGAGACTCATGGAGGCTTGCACCTGGTTTCCCTCAAACTTCACCCCATGAGCCTCTTCCCTTTCCTGATTTTGCCTTGTATCCTTTCGCTGTAATAAATTACAGCCATGAGCACTATGCACTCAGTCCTCATCAAACCTGGGGACGCTTTTGGGTACCCTAGACACTGGTGTTTACTGGCGGCGGCAGCCATCCAGCCCCAGTGACGATGCTGGAAGACTAACTGCCATCAAGGCCAGTAAGATAATGATCTGAATTAGAAGCCACACCACACTTGCCTAGATAATATTCTTAACACCATGCACGTTATATTTCTACAGACTGTCATTAGCTCCTAGCCATCTGGCCTGCCCCTCAAAAGACTATAGACTGGCAGATCAAAGACAACCATTCTTCTCTGGGGCCACAATCTATGGAAACAAACTGTGGTTGACAGTTTAACAGTCCAGGTCACTTGTTTCGATGCCCATCATAAGGCCCATTCTCCGATGAGACCAACCAGAACCAAAACACCGATCGAGATGACACTGTCCAGTTAACTGGCACTGCCACCTAAATGCATCATTGTACGAGATGTGGCGACATAACCTGCCACCATGGATGGGCACAGAGTAGAGGACTCCGTATTTCTGGCTTGACTACCTAGAGTCCCTGGCTGGGATGGTATGACCTGAGATCGTTAGGATAATGACCACTTGGTTGAGTATGCTCCCTCCAAGTCTCCCTACAGTGGCCCATGTGGCCCAAGATGGAAGATACAATGTGTCTCTGAATGTTTTGTAAAAATGCCCTTGTCCCATTCACATCTGACCCTTCTGGATGAAAGAAAGGTCCAGGTGAGAGTAGGGGATGATTGGAGAAAAAGTGGAATTATAGGTCCTGGGATGTGACACCCTGATTCTGTAGCAATAATCTTAGTATCTGGGGAGGGAACAATTAATCCTCTGGATCTCTCAGATCCAGCACCGCCACTTGGCAAACAATCCTAGGGTCTGCCTAAGCCAAGCGGCCGCTGCAGCTGACAATGTGATCAGCTGTGGGGTGTGTCACTCTCAACCTTGTGATAGGAAAACTCACATGGACATAGTTGGTAGTGAACTACTCTAATGTGCTTGATGCCATCAAAAGCAGCTCCCAAGGTGACCCTGTGCAGGCACACTCCGCAGTACGACCTGGTTTGATCTGACAGATACACATGCATCTGCTTCTCCTGATGCCATTATGCCAAGTAGGGCAACTGAGGCTGCAACTCCACAGGGACGTTGCCCTCAGGGCTCAGGCCAATAATATAATGGTGACTCAAATCAAGCAATAACATGTGGGAAACAGTGGGCCATGAAATGTCTCTTTACTGGGGCGCCTGGGTGGCTCAGTCAGTTAAGCAACCAACTCCTGATTTTGGCTCAGCTCTTGATCTCAGGGGTGTGAGATGGAGGCCTGAGCCCCATGTCAGGCTCCATGCTAGGCATGGAGCCTTCTTAAGATTCTTTCTCTCTCTCTCTCTCCCTCTGCCTGCCCCGCCCCCCACCCACTAGCACATGCATGTGTGCACACTCTCTAAAAACAAAAGAAAAAAAAGAAATGTCCCTTTACTGGGGATGAGGACTGCTTTGGGTCCATCTATTGCTCCCTGTAATTATTGACAATGACATCAAAGATCAGCAGGTCAGTCTAAACTCTTGCATGGACAGTAATGGCTAACTGATTGGCCTCAGACCACGTTCTGATTATCTAATAGAAGACCTACTGGCCCGCCTAGGACTTATCATAGCTGACTGAGTCTGCCATGCTGGAGGATTGAGATCAACACTGCAGGTTGGCTTCATCCTGCTGCTTAAGAGTCCTGTTGATGGCAGCCTTAATCAAACGGCAGTATAAGACAAACTGAACATATTTGATCCTAGCCTCTACCTATCAGACCAATCAGACTAAACAACACATTCATGTGGAAATTTAAGTTAAGTCAAGAGGGCTGAGGGGTGAACTGTGAAGGAGGCAATCAACCACAGCCCTGAGCATCCCTGAATGTTCTCAGTGGGTACACCAAGAAAGCAAAGCCCTGATCACCTCTGTCTAGGCCATTTGTCAGGACGGCTTGCAGAGAACAACCTGGAAGGGTGACATGATGACTGCCCCCAAAGAGCAGGTTTGCTTCTGTTCACTATAAAGGCTGTGAATATCACAAACTCCATATTCTTCAGCTTCATGCAAACCCACTGCATGCACGGCATCTGCCTGGGCCCCTCTGGGTCACCTCTGGGTGACTTGGGGAACATGGGGAACCCACATGACCAGGCCAACAGTCTGGATATTGCTTCTTTTGTAATAAACTCTGATGTCTCTGACCTGTCAGCATCCACGAAACAATAGCAAGCTAAAATCCTAGACCCCTCACGGACCCTGACACTCCTCCCTATACCAGAGGAGAACCTGCGATTTGTCAAGTCCAGTCCTCCAGCCTTTCCTGCCCCTGCTGCCCTGCCCTGCCACCTCTGAATCCCACCCCCCCCACTGTGTGTGTCCCCATCTGTCACCCTACCCTGCAGCCTTCAGCCCTCAGAGCCCATCTCAGTCCCCTAGGATGAAAGCATATGCAGGAATGTGAGACAGAAGCCTGGCTGAGCACTCAGAGGCTCAAGGGCAGAGAAACATGGCCTGACCTCCCCGGCATCCACTTGATGTTGGATGCCTACTGTGTTCACAGCCTCTGATTGCCCCCCACAGCTGGGGTCCATACCCCATGAAAAGATAGGGAGCCTGAGGCTAAGACAGGGGCAGTGGCTTGCCCAAAGGCACCAATGAGCAAGTGATGGTATGCGCATCCAGACCCAAGCATGTCTGGCTCCAAGTCGAAAGCCCTCACGCTCCATTCATGGTGCCCCAGCCTCTATATGACCGGGCTTCCCATGACCCAGCAGAGGCAGAGTAGACATGGCCATAGGCCCCAGCAGCTTACCTCTGGGCGGTCTACTTTAAATGGGTTCTGGAAGTCAGAGTCCTTCTCGCTGATCCCCAGCTCCTGGGCCATCTGTGGATGAGGAAAAGTTAGTCATCCTCTGCCTTCTCCTGACTCCTTACCCACGGCCACTCTCTCCATGGTGGGACCCAGGCCCAAGGCTTAGGCAGATGTGGAACAGGTGATGACCCCTAGGGACCCAGGTCAGCACAGACGGGATCTCAAGGTGCCCTGAGGCTTATCAGAAAACACAACCAAGGGCTGACATTCAGGCCCAATTGAAGGCAGATGCAAGGTTCATGATACACCACCAGGCAGAGGGCTCCTGAACCTCCTCTGCCCCAGTCAGTCCTTACCAGGCTAAGGATGGGCGAGTGGGGCCCCTGGTCAAACACGCCCGACTGGTTGCAGAAGCTGATGCCCCAGCGGATGAGAAGGTTCCAGTTGGAATTGTGGTCAAAGTAGTGATGCACAATCCTCGGGAAGCGCAGCACCACATCACCGAAGAAGGCCGTGTTCTCCACTACTTGGGAGAAAGCTGGCGAGAGGATCCTGATGAGTGGCCTGGGCAGATGCCCTTCTACTGCCCGCCTGGCCAGCCCCAGCCACCCTTCAGAGAACGGAAGCCCACTAAGCCTACTAATCAGAGCAGGGAACTGTGCCCGCTCTCCACAGGTGCTGACCACGTGTGCAGTGCATGCTAATGTCTTTATGTCCATCAGATCACTGAATCCTCAAAACCACCTCGAGGGAGATGTAGCTACTATTCCCATTGTACAGATGGGAAACTGAGGCTCAGATGGCTGGTGAGTGGCAAATCTGGGCTGCAAACCCAGGTCTAACTCCAAAGGCCATGCTATATCTCATTTGTTGTGGGGACCAGAGAGGTGGGTGTCATTTTGCACACGAAGACACATGCGTCATGTGAGGCTTGGCTGGGTCTGACTTCCCCAACTTGGCCTCAAACTATCCAGAGCCAGGCCCCATTGTTAACACAACTGCAGTGTATGTGAGGAGCAGGTCTATTAGGATGACCAGGGAACACATTAGGGTTTTGTTTTGTTTTGTTTTTTAATATCTTTCCAATTTTATTTTATTTTATTTTTACTTTTTTAAAAGATTTTTATTTATTTATTTTAGAGAGCAACAGAGAGCGTGCGCACATGAGCTCAGGGGACAGGCAGAGGGAGAAGGAGAAGCAGACTCCCCACTGAGCAGGGAGCCCGATGCGGGACTCAACCCCAGGACCCTGGGATCATGACCTGGGCCGAAGGCAGATGCTTAACCAACTGAACCACCCAGGCACCCTTTTATTTTAAATGCTTCTTGAGATTTATAGTAAAATAACTTTAGACTTCCATCATACATCATAAAATTCCTTCACTTGGCTTTCCCTCATGTTATCATCTTACATAACCATTGTATAACTATCTAAACAAGGGAATTAACATCGATACTAATCATTAGACCTTAACTGAATTTCACCAATTTTCCTACTAATGTCCTTCCTCTAGTCAACAGATCAGTTCAGACTAAGTTAGTGTGCCCATCATGGCAGCAGGTCCCCCCCCACCGCGGCTGTCATGAAATAGAACTACATACCCAGCCCTACTGGAAGTCCCTGTTTGAGCCATCCCTGCAGATAAGGCCCAGGCACCCCTCACCAGCACTGGCCAGGCCACACAGAAAGATAAGTGGACTCCGCCAAAGATATGCCAGGTTGGGTCCAAGACAAGTGGAATAGGGACCTCTGGGTTTCAGAACAAGCTTGAACCTCAAAGAACTCAGGAGTTAGCCTGGTTTACAGGTTTGCAAGAGCAAACCACTTGTCCTCTTTTATCTGGAAAACGGAGGCAACAGTGCCTTCCTCAGAGCAGAGATTTGAGATGGTGTTTGTAAAGTACCCATCATTTAATATATAAGCGCTATTTCCATCCTCTCTCAGACAGGGTAACCTAACAAATTTTATTGTTAGAATATAACCAATTAACCGGAGAGAGGGGGAATTACCACAGGAGAATGATTCTTGGAAGAGGGGATGAACGGACACACAGAACATTATCTTACTTATCTGTTCTTCCCACCTTGTCTCAAAAAGGATTTAAGGGGGTTGGCGCTTTAAAACAGTAGTAAAGAGCACTCTTAACTGCCCCCACTGGCCAGTCTCTTCAATAGAGCTCAGTTTTTTTCTCCTATAAATGGTAACAACCCTTGCCTTCTCTACCACAAGGGTCAGGATGGTAGAAAAGGCAAGAATCCCTGAGGTGGGGTCATGGGTAGAGGTTTCTCCCTGTTTCCCTTGCCCCAACCACAGTACAGTGCAAAGGAAATATCCATGTCAGGGGCCCAGAAACTGGCTCTGAAGCCCAGAAATGCCCAGAGAAATATGGATTAAGTATCCATACACCCAAGGGAACCACTTGGAAGGTGTTATAAGAGGATACTTCCAGGGAAAAAGAGAGTGAGAAGAATAGGAGGGAAGGAGCAGCTAGAGAAGATCAAGGTGGTGGGGAAGAGGAAAGGGAAGATTGGGAAGACCATACCATCCTTCAGTTTCTCGTCCTGGGGGAAGGGCCCATCTGGGAGCACATCTGCAGCAATGAGCACTGTCCGCGAGTCCTCCAGCACCTGAGGGAACCCCACCTGGGCTGAGTGGCTTTGCAGAGCCCTTCACAGATGGTCCTATTTATTTAAACCCTATTTCCAGTCTTTTGTGCATGTAGTTCCCCTCATTGAACACCAGCCCTTTAGGGAACTCCTACCCATCCGTCAGTGCCCAGATCGAAGACTGGGCCTGCCCTGAGCTGCCCCATGCCCACACGCACCTTAAAGAGCCCCTTGAGCATGACGTCAAGAATCTTGTACTGCTGGTGGACATCGTTTAGGTGTGCCAGGTTTTTCAGGGCCAGCAGCTGTTCTCGCCGTTTCACCTCAAACATCTTCTTGTCTGAGCAGCATGAAGTTAAGGGGCTGGCACCCATACTCCTGCCTGGACAATCCAGTGGTCCCAGTCCAGAGGGCCCATTCCCAACCAGCAAGTATCTGCAAGGGCCATAGATGCCCATGGCTGAGACACTCCCCCTCTCCCCACACCTCCAGGGAAGAAACAGACTGAGAGGCATGGGCATCCTGCAACCTATCCTTCATCCATTTCACATAGGATTCTATATCCAACACCCTGAACACAACCCTCAGGACCTGGCTCCTGCCCTCCCCTCCCCATGGTCTTCCTGCTACTTGCTGTAACCATTCACTATTCCCAGAACCTCCACTCCTCTGCTTACACTGTACACTTAACCTGGGATGCCACCGACCCCCCTTCTCCATGAGTTTCTGTTCTTTCAAGACCCAGTTCAAAAGCCACAGCACCATGTTTCTCCCTGCCCCTCTTCCCCAACCATGGTTCATTAAAGTGCTGACTACAGAGTACAGCGTGAGGTCTGTGAGTTCCTCAAAGCCAGGGACTGACTGGTCCGAGTTTCTTCTTTGTGTCCCTAAGGTCTGGCCCAGAGCAGGTAGCCCAGTATGCCAGGGCCTGAGTCTCCACCCAGGGTCTCACCCACAAGATGCAAAGCACATGCACAATCCTCAGAGAACCTTGTGGCTCTGAGAAGTATGCCTTGTCTTCTCCATTTAACATAGGGGGAAACTAAGGATCAGAAGAGAATTGACTTGATCAAGGTTTGGTTAGAGCACCTCACCTTTACCCTGTTCTCATAAGCTGGGTCTGCTCCAACCCTGGAATCCGAGGGGTTGTGGGTACAGAAAGACTGTTTATCCCCCTCAGAAACAGCTTATTAACCCCACCTCCACCCCAAAGGATACAGATCTCCAGGCTCGGGTCCAGGGAGGTCTTCAGGGTGTCTGTGACTCCTGTCCCAGACAATAGCAGGACAAAGAGGAACTGAAGAAGATCCATATCCAAGATCCTAGAGCTAGGAAAGCAACCCAGAGAGAGGTGAGATCCAGAGCTTGGTTATATAAAATAAAGAGTGCAGGTAAACAGCAACTTCCTGACATGGCATGGACTCCAAATACCAAGAACCCAGCTTTGGGGAGCCCTGGAGCCCCAGTTTCAGCCCAGGGCCTGTGACCACCAGACACACAATGAACACTGTGGGATGGTAGGAGGGAGGAAAACAGATAATATTGGCAATATAGGGATGCTTAGTGCGCAGGGGTCAGTGTCTAGAACTCTGGGCTAGAGCCCTAGCTCTGCCTCTGTCTGTGGGCCCTGGGGCAAAGTGCTCAGCTTCTCTAAGCCTCAGTTTTTTCACCTGTAAAATAGAGATAAGGAAGTCCCCTCCTTGCTGTAGGGAGAAAGAACTGGGTTAGGCATTATGCCTGGGGAAAGGGGCTGGTCATTACCATTCCCTTTCAACACACCCCATCCTGGACCCCAGGAAGGTGTCTGGTTAAGGAAGCCCAGGCAGTCAGGGGAGTTGTGAAACTTCTGCAGTTTCTCTCCCTCTCTGACTTCTGTCCTCAGAACAGAAGATGGGGCCCGCCTGGTTGGCTCAGTCAGTGGAATATGCAACTCTTGATCTTGAGGTTGTAAGTTCAAGCTCCACACTGGGTGTAGAGATTATTTAAAACTAAAATCTTAAAAAAAAAAAAAGGACAGAAAAAGGGATTTGGGGCAGGAAAGGAGGAGGCACAGTCCTGGGTAAGAAGGCTGCCTGTCACTCACTCACTCTGGAACCACAGGCACCACAAACAACACCTGTTCTTATTCAAGCACCATTCCCTAATTATTTTTTAAGTACCACATTCAAGGCACTGTTTTAGACCTGGGAATACAGCAGTGTCTAAGACAAAAATCACTGCATTCATGGTACTTATGTCCCTAGTAGGTGAAACAAACAATCAATAAACTTGTAAAACAAGCACAGAAGGATGAGGGAGTTGGTGAAACACACACTGAAACACAGTGGTCAGAGGAGGCCTCACGCTCAGATGACAGCTGCCCAATTTTACCAATGTGGAAACCAAGGCGCAGAAAAGTGAGGTGATTGCCCAAAGACACTCAGCTATTCCCGGGCTAATAAGATTCTAAATGAGTATAGGCTACCTCAAAGCTGCCACTGTACTAGCAGGACACCTGCTCCAGGGGAAAGACGCTCAGTGATTGACAGAGAGCCTGCAGAGGTCATTCAGAGAACCGCCCCGGTGCCACCCTACGAGGATGAGACAACTGAAGCTTCAAGAATGGGAAGGAGTAGTCCAAGTTCACCCAGGACCACCTGCTTTCCAACATCATGCTCTAGACTCAAGGGAACCAGACCCGGGCTAGGGCAGAACTTGAAGCCAGGGGCTATCTGACAGCCGGTAATGACCGAAGCAGGAGAGAAGTGAGAAAGGAAAACCGAAAAAGCAGATTGCGTGGAGACTGATCCTGCTTTTTCTGTTACTCCCACTTACCCTGCCTCTCAATCCCGCCCCCCGCCCGGTGCGTTCCCAGAGCTCTTCCCGGCTGGGTACGCGACTCTGAACCCATTCTGTAAGGGTGACATGGCGATGGCGGGCTGAGCCGCTACGTGGACTCGTGGACCCGGCTTGCTGCCCCGAGCCTTTGGGGCGCCCAGAGGAGAGAACGAGTCCTTCCAACGAGAAGCGTTCGGGGCCGCGAATCTCATCCCCTACCCCCAGCAGCAGGTTCGGGGGCCCTTGGTCCCTGCCCCCCAGCCCCACCAGAAGCCCGCCCTCCCGGGACCCCCGCCGCCACGTACCAGACAAGTCGGTGCGGGAAGGGGCGTGCGGATAGGACGGCGGCGCGCAGCCCGGCTCTAGAGCCCACGGGGCGAACAGCAGAGGCGCGGAACCTCACACTAGGCGCCAGGCAGCATCGCAGGAACCTCCAAGCACCGCCCCCGGCCAATGAGCGCGAGCCGCGACGGCCGCTCAGCTGACCTCACTTCCCGCCCCGCCCCGCCCCCAGCGCGGTAAACCGGAGTCTAGTCCCGCCCACCTTGTGCCGGGGCGCGATTGTCACCCTGTCACGGTCAGATTGCAGGAAGTTAAGTCTGCGGGAGTCTGGGCCCGACGCAAAGGGCGCGTCTGCGGACTGGAGCCCTGACCGAAACTTTTCATCAGCTGACAGTGTCTTTTAAACTGCAGTTGACAGGATCAGTTTGGTGGGTCACGACTAGCACTGTTTTTTTTTCTTTTTTTAAGAAATCGGCGGGCGCCTGGGTGGCTCAGTCGTTAAGCGTCTGCCTTCGGCTCAGGTCATGATCCCGGGGTCCTGGGATCGAGTCCCACATCGGGCTCCCTGCTCGGCGGGAAGCCTGCTTCTCCCTCTCCCACTCCCCCTGCTTGTGTTCCTCCTGCTCTCGCTGTGTCTCTCTCTGTCAAATAAATAAAAAATCTTTAAAAAAGAAATTGGCAGTGCGGGGGCGCCTGGGTGGCTCAGTCGTTAAGCGTCTGCCTTCAGCTCGGGTCATGATCCCAGGGTCCTGGGATCGAGCCCCGCATCGGGCTCCCTGCTCCGCGGGAAGCCTGCTTCTCCCTCTCCCACTCCCGCTGCTTGTGTTCCCTCTCTCGCTGTCAAATAAAATCTTTAAAAAAAAGAAAAGAAATCGGCAGTGCGGAGTTGGTGCATCCCCTGCTCGCCTCTCCAGTCCACCAGCTTCTAAACCTGGTTCGTCGGGGGCCTCCCTATCCGTTCATTAGGACGGAGTTCAGACCAGTTTTGTGCAGGGTCCGTACAGCCAAGCCCGAGGAGTAGGGTGGGCTGCCCAGTTACCGGCACCCAGGTGTGGGTGGGGGGGCAGGGGGCTCTGGAGGCGGACAGGGAGCCAGAGGCGCAGTGGGCTGAGCTGGGAACAGGAAGCAGGCACAGTTGTGGAGAGCAGACCTTAAAAGAACTGCACAGGTAGTAATCAAATACAAGCTCTGGGGAGGGCCCACGGAAAGAAACACAGGAACCCACTTTAGCCAGGGACCCGTTGGGCTCGGCTAGCGAGGTACAGAAGGATTTGACCTGCTCAGCTTCCTTGCCTGGAAATTGCACCTCTCTCCACCTTCACGTGAGGTGGGGCAGCAGGTAAAGTGCCTCTCAGAGCACTTGGATCACATGGGTACCACACACATGGCCTTTCTCTGCACTTCCAGCCCCGTGGATGGCCTGACTGGTATCTTCTGGGTACAACTGAGGCAGCCAGCTGGTGCTCCTTACATGTTACCAGAACAAATCCCATCCCCTGTCCCTGAGGAGGCCATCCATTCCTTATTGAAGCAATCCACTATCCCAGTGGCAGAGTTATCAGCTCCAGGGAGCCAAGATAAGTTGAGACAGAAATGTTTTTGGAGAGCCCATAGAGACATGTGAGTGTATCATTTTATTTCCTGACTCCATTTCAACAATGGAGTAAATGGCTACATTTGTCATCCATTTCCCCAACAATTCTGACTTTCTCTTCTCCAAGTCTTAGTTCTCTCTTTCTGGGCCTTCAAGTTATGACGGTCAGTCTCTGATGTGGGATAGGGATACAGCCACCCCTCCGAGGCAACTGGCAGCAAAACATGAGAGGAAAACGCAGAAAGGAGGAGCCAACTATGGGAGAACCACACTTCCAGAGCCCAAAGGTGCTCTTAGGAATAGTGGGCTGGATTCCAAATCTGGGACCCAAACACCAGGGTAGGTATTCAACAGGGAACTGTTTCAGGCACAGGGAAAGGAGAGCCAGGGAGGTAGCCAGTGGGGATGGGGAGGAAGCACCAGACTGAATGCCCAGACTGAAGTGTCTCTGGAGCACCACAACCACCCACAGAGGGCCTCTAGCCACTGCCCACAGCCCCAGGCTTTCTTAGGGACAGGTCAGTCAGCCAGCACCCCCCACTGGGCTGAGGGAAGCACCTGTATCAACTGGGTTTGGGCAACTTTCTCCAAAGCTCTTGGGGAAGGACTGGCTCCTTCCTGAGTGTGGTGATGTGGCTCTGAAGACAGACAAATGGGGGTCAGATCCTGATGCTATTACTGTGTGATCCTGGGCACATCATTTAACCTCTCTGGTGTAAGTTACATCTATGTTTTAACAGCCCTAGCCTCTGTGAGGATTAGACATAGTACAAGTAATGTGCGTGGCCCTTGGTAGGAACTTAAACAGAATAAGTCAGTATCATTACTATGCACTATTATTCTCACTGATGCAAATGCTTTAAAGGACAGAGCTATAGACAGTGTCACCCCGCTGAAGCATGATGCCACAGCCTCCCATAGCCTGGGTGACCTTGCCCAGTCCAAGGCTCCCAGATGCAAGAAAGGATACAGCATGTCCAGGGGTGGCTGGGCGGAGGAGGTGCTCAGGTTCGAAAGGCCCTCTAAGGAGGCCTGCAGGGTCTGGGCTGTGCTGTAATCAGCCAGGAGGCCCATGCTCTGGACCTGAGGGAAGAAGGCAGGGAAGATAGGCCTTCTCAGCAGCCACTCCATACAGGCCCTCTCAACCCTCCACCCTCTGTACTCCTGACCTCCCACGGCTGCTGTGGCCAGAGCACCCATCCTCCGCAGAGAAGATGGCATGGACAGTCTAGGCTTACAGCAGCTACCCAGCATCCCCTTCCCACCCACCTGCAGGAAGAAGCCACGCAGAGCCTGGAGTGTGGTGTTCGACAGGGTAGAGAGGTCAGCCAAAGCTGCACCTTGCAGAACATGACCCACTTCCTCATGAGAGAGGACACTGCTGCTCTGGAACCGCACAAACTAGGCCAGGGAGAGAAGCCCCAAACACACAGTGATTTGGCATCTCCTTCATTCACAGATATTTCCGGTGTCCCTGCTGTGTTTGACACCAGGCTGGGGGCACAGATCTGAAGCCCAGAGAACCCTGCCTTCAGGAGCTCAGAGTTGGTGGGCAGAGGTGAGGCTGTGTCACAGAAGAGTGGGGCAAATGAGGCAGACTGTGAAACCCTGAGAGAGTTAGCCCTGCTGACCCCTTCAGTATCCTTCCCCTCACTGCTTGGCCCTGCACCTCACACTCATGGCCAAAAAGGACTATGTGTGGTTGTCCAAACATACCACCATGTACTCATTTACCTGCTATTTTCACTTCACTACCTGGAATACTTTTCCTCCTCTTTGCCTATTAATCCTTCAAACCTCACCTAAAATGTTTCCTTCCTGCTGAATGTTTTCATTTCATTAAAGAAATAGAGGCATTAATTGAGTGCTTATTGCATCCTTATTCACCTCTCCCCCCTGGCTCTGGCAGAAGCAATTACAGTCAATCTTTGAACAACACGAGAGTGAACTGCACAGGTCCACTTATACACAGATTTTTTCGATAAATATAGTACTGTACTGTAAAAGTATTTTCTCTTTATGATTTTCTTAATAACATTTTCTTTTTCTAGCTTACTTTATTGTAAGAATACAGTATCTAGTACACATAACATACAAAATGTGTTAACTGACTTTATGTTATCAGTAAGGCTTTCAGTCAACAGTGGGCTATTAGTAGTTAGGTTTTGGGGGAGTCAAAAGTTAATATGCAGATTTTTAACTGTGCGAGGGTCAGCACAGTTGACCCTAACCCCCACGTTATTCAGTGGTCAACTGTACTCTTCTCTGTGTTCCCACAACAACCACTGATTTATTCATTGATTCACTTCACTATCATTCATAGGCTCACTGCTTTGTTGTTTATTCAATGGGCACTTACTGTGCGCCAAGCACTTAGCATATCTTCTACTATGCCACTAATAACATCATGTTTTAACTATTAGTTTCCTTGTCTATCTCCTTCTTTAGACTGAGGGACCCTTAGAAGGCAGAGCATTTGGCTCAGTGACATCTTTGGTCCCTAGCATAGGATCTGGATGTAGCAGACAAGCCCTGGCCAACGTTTCACGTGCTAATGAATTAGAAAGAGTATCTGGGTCTTTGCGGGGTGAGAAAATGTGGGTGTTTAGAGGAATTCTCTGAGTAGGCCTCTTATAAGGTGAAGGCCCACCCAGCCCCTCTACTTTCTACCCCTCTACCTGGCCTCTTCAGGACCACCCAGCTCATGACATTCTTCACACCACAAGACCATCCATTCTGCACTTACCAGGGTCATGAGCCTCAAGATCTCAGGTCTGAGGAAGGAACTCTCTCCAGCATCCAGGAGGGTAAACAGCAAAAACCGATTCCAGGGCTGGGAGACCACATGGAATGCTAAAGGAAACACCAGTCACCCTGGGTTGTTACTGCTGCTCTTCCAGAGGCCTTGGAGCATTGCTGAAGAGGACTTTCTCTTATTGGCTCAAAAAGGGGTTGCTCAGCTAGAGGCAGGGCATTGGACAAACTGGCCACTGGAAGTTTCTTTCCTCCCTGGGCTTCTATCCACCTATGCTGCCTGGCTCAGGGAGACTACATCCCACTATTGTGGGAAGCAGGCAACAGGAAGGGCTCTGCCACTTCGGAGCTTTGTGACCTTGGTTGCGCAGGTTACTTGACCTCTTTGGACTGCAGGGTCCTCATCCATATAATGGACATCACAATGCCTTTGCATGTTATGAAAATAATTAAACATAATGAGTATGAATCAAAAAACAGAGGTTGGGAGTCTGGGACAGTAAGGTGGCAGGGGCTGGCCACCCTTATGGGAACATCAGAGAATGGGCAAGGTTTCTACCGATGTCTGGGCTCCGGGCATGCAGGTAGTCAAGCAAGGCTTCCAGGCAGCCAACACAGGCATAGGACAACAGAGGGTCCTTCTGCAAACAAATAAACAAACAAACAAAACCCCTTCATGTCAGGTTTTGCTACCAATGAGTGTTATTGCCAACCAAGAAAAAAAAATTTGGTTTTCAGAATAATTTGTATTTTCGAATTTCAGATTTGGGATTGTAACCCTGTAGATAATCAAGAAATGTTTGTTGCTTGGGGTGCCTGGGTGGCTCAGTTGTTAAGCGTCTGCCTTCGGCTCAGGTCATGATCCCAGGGTCCTGCAATCCAGCCCCGCACTGTGCTCCCTGCTCAGCCAAAATCCTGCTCCTCCCTCCCCCCCTCCCCCTGCTTGTGTTCCCTCTCTCACTGTCTTTCTCTCTGTCAAATAAATAAATAAAAAATCTTAAAAAAAAAGTTTGTTGCTTTCATCTCTAACCCACACATAGAGCATAGTGCTTATACTGATGATTTACCTACACTCTACCTACATTCAAGAGACTGTTTCAGAAAAGGAGGGGTGCCTGGGTGGCTCAGATGGTTAAGCGTCTGCCTTCAGCTCAGGTCTTCAGCAGAGTCTGCTTCTCCCTTTCCCTCTGAGCATGCCCCCTCCCGCCCCGCTCCTGCTCTCTCAAATAAATAAAATCTTTTTTAAAAAACAATAGACTGTTTCGGGAGAGGAGTTAAGCCCTGGGCTCCACTAAGAGATTCACAGATTATAGACTCTGTAAGAACCTCACAGTTTATCTAAGCCAATAGGTTTCAACCTTTTTTTAAAGCAGAACCTTATATCAAACAAAATTTTATGCTCTAATAAGCATACCAAAAGATCTCATTATCATCAGTCATTAGGGAAACGCAAATGAAAACCACCATGAGATACCACTACAACACCCACCAATAGCTAAAATTAAAAAGACTGACAATATCATGTTGGCCAGAATGTGAAGCAACTGGAACTCTCATATACTTCTGATGGGAAAGTAAAATGGTGCAATCATTTTGGAAAAGTTTGACGGTTTCTTATAAACATATACTTCCCTATAAACATATACTTTATAGTGGTAGGCAGAATTTTAAGACTATCTCATGACTTTGCTCCCAGATGTTACTCCTGTGATTATGCTACAATATATGGCAAAAGGGAGATTATTTGGGCCCAATCTAGTCACACCAGCCATTGAAAAGCAGTTTTGTCTGGCTGGTGGCAGAAGAACCAGAGAGTGTGAGGGTGTGAGGACTCAGCACGCATCGGTGGTTTGAAGATAGAGGGGCCGGCTAAGGAAGAATGTGAGCAACCTTAAAGAGCTAGAAGAGGGCCCTGAGGAAGAGGTGGATTTTTCCCCCAGATCCTCCATATAAGCGCCCAGCCTGGCCAACACCTTGATTTCAGCCTTGTGAGACCCTGAGCGAAGAACTTGGTCAAACCTTACCCAGACTTCTGATACAGAGAACTGTGGGATAATACAGTATGGTGCCAAGCCATTACATTTGTGGTAACTTGTTACACACATTAGAAAGTGAGTATGTCAGGGCGCCTGTGTGGCTCAGTCGTTAAGCGCCTGCCTTCAGCTCAGGTCATGATCCCAGGGTCCTGGGATCAAGCCCCACATCGGGCTCCCTGCTCTGCGGGAAGCTTGCTTCTCCCTCTCCCCCTGCTTGTGTTCCCTCTCTCGCTGTGTCTCTCTCTGTCATATAAATAAATAAAATCTTTAAAAAAAAAAAAAAGAAAGCGAATATGTCGTTTGACCCAGCAATTCCACTCCTAGATATGTACCCACGAGAAATGAAATTGTATGTCCACGCAAAGACTTGTACTTTAGTATTAAGAACAATTTTATGCACAATAGCCAAAAATCTGGAAGTCCCAAATCAACAGGTGAATGGGTAAACAGTTGTGGTACAGCCATATAATGGACGACTACTCACCAATAAAAAGAAATGAAGTACTGACACATATGACAATATGAATCTCAAAAGCATTAAGCTAACTGACAGAATTTAGACACACAAGACCACATTTTGTATGATTTCATTTATATGAATTCTAGAAATGGTAAAACTATAGTGAGAGAAAGCTGATCAGTGTTTACTGAGGGACAGGGATGGGGAGAAGAGACTGACTACAGAGGGGCACAAGGGAACTTTCTGGGGTGATGGAAATGTTCTTTTTTTTTTTTTTT